GATGGTACCGTGCCAGGGTGACCACGACATCCCGATGCTCAGGGAGGTTCAGACAGCTAGAGTTTGTTAACTCGAGACCCGGCGGCAACGAAAATCGGCTCCAAACGTGAAAGGCATTAAAGCCCGTGAATCTCCAAACCACCTGGCTTATTTAAGCTGCTTCCTTCCTTAAATACTGACACACAATATGTAATACTAAGACGACAGTACACAGTCTATCACCAATCCCCCATCCACCTCACTCCTCACCCAAGCCAGAGTGAAGAACTGGAAGAGTGAAGCAAAAAGCAGCTGTTTTTCTCTCCCCCTCGCCCCAAATCTGCTGATACGGTGTGAATTTATGCAGGCATCTCCCGAAGAGGAGAGCAGATCCCTCCCGACCTTTCCCAGCCACCCCAGCTCCTTGCCCAACCCACACGCTGAAATATGCAATATTCTCATTAGAGCTTTGCTCCTTCCCTGAAGTTAAATGAGTGATTCCCAGCCAAGGGCTTCTTGGGGCTCAAAAAGCAAAACTCTGAATAACCCTACGTCCCCAGAAGCAGAAGGATTTAAACAATACAAGCCTCCACCCCCCTCTAAATCTATTACCGCTTTCTTCTACATGGTTTAACAAATTCTCCAATATTTGTCTGAAACCTACTATCCCTGGACAACTGAATGGAGATTTTACTGCACATGTGCCTCTGATTACAATATATTACCACTAATGATAATTGCCTGGATTATACTTATCTGTTTCTTTGGCTAATAAACTATAAAAGACCACCAGTGAAGATGTAATAAAGTGCAGCTGTTGTAGCAAAAGCCTTTTTCTAGGTCAAAGCAAGTTTGGGAGAGGCTGGGGAGGACTGTCTCTGTGAGGGGAAGCAATACCTAACTGGAAATAAGAAGAGCTCCTCAAGGCAGCTTTCATTAATCTGAAACTTTTATCCCAGAAACGTTGCTGGGGTTTATCTGCCAGCAGGACAAGGGGAGGTGCAAGCTCTGCATTTCTCTCCTGCATCTCATTAGCCTCAAAATGGACCCTTGGGCTCCTTCGAAATGTTCCTGGCTGCACGACTCGGCCATGCACGTACCTACGCTCGCGGAGAGTCAGAAAGAGGGAAGGAAAGGAACATTTTTTTGCTCGGCGTGGAGATGCAGCCTCTCTGAGCATGAAACATAAGCTGTTTAAGAGCACGCAGCAACTGTTTGCAGGTGCCAAAGGGCAGGAAGAGAAAAAATACCATATTCAAGTCCAATGGAAATTTAGGAAGTTCGAGAGAATTGCCAAGGCTGGAAAGCAGCCAGGACGCTGAAGTAAACACTCTTACGTTTAACTAAGGACTGGACCGATAACCAGCGAGTTGCATGTTACACTTGTGAGATGCGCTCCCGGGCACCGCGCTGGTGCCAAGGAGGAACAAACCGACTGCCCCCGTGTCCTGCAAAACTCCACTATTTTCCCCAATATTTCCCTGTGGCAGGAATAATGTAACGTGATCTTGCATAGCTGCCTCAAACCCAAAGCAACAGAAAAGGGTTTTTCCCCTTCTGTACTGTCTGGGCTACGGCAGCATCTAGACCAGCAGCCAAACACTGCACAAATGCAGAATAAGACGTTGGTGATGTGGAGATGGCTTTATTGTCTTTAATTAATGGCCCCGTACACTGCCCAGGGTTTAAAACACAAGGCAAGGTTTGTAGGCTTTCATTTCATCAACTAACACAAGTTAGGGAAAAAAAAAACCCCAACATGATTTCAGAGACGCAAGCCCTTCTTCCAATTTTAACAGAATGCTGGAAGAAAAAGTTAATGTATCTTTCATGAGGACAATCTAGATAATAAGCAACACAATTCTACAGCACAAGCCTTGGGTTTTTTTCTTTCTTTCTTCATTTTTTTTTTCTTAAATAATCAAGAATTTCTGGTTGTGGATAGACGACCAAGGTAAAACTTGAGTCACCAAACATCCCCCGCATAGACACACACTCTAACCTCATGCGCTAAGTGGTATATGAGATTTTACTTTCAGATTTGGGCAGAAACAACAACTTAAAAAAAAAACCCCACTCTGTGTCAAACCTAAACTAAAATTGTTATTCAGCAATTTGCAACACTTACTGTCATATTAAAGTCATTTTATTTTATTTTTGCTCGCTTGCTCTGTTCTTGTAACAAAATAGCACATCTCAGGATTTCAGAAGACGTTTGGTATAGCAACTGAAGCACTCCTTAAATGTTTAGGGGGTACAGCCTGTGACACTGGTAATGGCTGCTAACGCCGGTAGAAATCGTGCAGACAAAGAGGAATTGCACCAAATGAGACCTAGGTGACAAAATTGCCGCGGTGCCGAGGCACGACTGAGTACTGACGCACCGTACGGCACCAGTTAGCAAGTAACGGGGGAAAATATGGAAACCTGCTACCAGAACAATACTGTCAACAGCTCTAGCTCTCGCTCTCTGATAAAGATTTATTTTCAAGCCGTGCAAGCTGTGGACGGGCACGGTTTGGAGCGAGGTCCCACTCCGGCACGCTCCCTGCCAGCTCTCCTGCCGGTGACAGGGTGGCTCTCGCCGTGACTCTGCAGTGGGCTCCCCTCCACGTGCACCCCACGCTGGCCCTTCACACCACACGCGGTCTGAAGCTTTTCCAGCAGAGGTTTGCAAGACTTTCTCCACGGTCTGAGACATCCCGTCCTGGATCAGTTACCAGCCCGGGACGGGGGATGCCAGTGTTTTTCTGTCCGTCCTTCTCCCCTGCTCACTGTCTAGCTACAACAGCTCTGCAACGTCTCTTTCTTTCCCGCATGGATATATTATTTATAAACACGAAAGAACTTTCACTAAAAGCAAGCTTCTACTTTTTTATTTAGAAAACTTCCAAAGGAATGAAACTTTTGTTCAAACACCTAAATACTCCCCTCCCTGGGCTGAAGGGCACTGTCTGTGCCTGCTGCCCGCAGGGGAGCTCCCCAGGCGATTTTTCTCCTTTGGATGGAGCAAAGTGTCGGTGGTAACCAACATATAAAGGGAGAGAAGCTGGATGCTTTAATGCATTCAGTATTACTCATCTCAGGTGTTCTTTAAAGTACAGATAAAGACATCTGGCAGGCTGAGACACAAGAGGTGCTTACCCTTGCCACAGAGTAAGAGTATGGACTCAGGTAAACCATCCCACCTCTCCATGCCCCGGCTGTAAAGCGAGGAGGATGCCACTTTGGCACAGGGATGTGAACTATTACCTCTTTAGGAAGGGCTGATTTCTAACCTGACAACATCTCTTTCGATGATACAGATCCCTAAAGTACACGGTTATGACAAACACTCGATATGGCTCATAAGACAACGTTGGTACTTACTTTTTCAAAGGCTCTATGACTGTCTTTTGGATCTGATTCACCTGTTGAAAGCAAAAGGGATGATTATATGTCAGGCTTGTTGAAAAAGCCTGTTTGCACAACGATACATGTTTGCACAGTGCCTACCATAGGATGATGTGGGCTTCTGCGCACAACCACAATGCCCTTTAACCAAAAAATAGCAAACTTCTCCCATGTGCTCGGGATGAGCTGCAATCCCCAGTACAACCAGAGTCAGAAGAAGAGTAAGATTATAGAGAAACTCATGTGGGAAGCATCTTGGAGACGATGACGAAAAGGGAAGGAGGAGATACCAACAGCACCTCGGCACACCCTGGTCTCCCCTTCTTCAGCCAAACCCACCTTCTCCTGGTTGAAAGAGTCCATCCTCTTCATCGCTGTGTCGAAGGCCGTGACCATCTCCAGAAAGCTGGGCTCCTGTTCACACAGGGGGTTAGACAGCAGGTCCGAAGAGATTTTGACAGCCGACTTGGACATGGCTGAGGGCAACAGGAGCATGCAAAGGAAAGGAGAGGGTCACATCTCAGCGGCTGCCTGCTGGGACAGCCACACAACCCCTCATTGCCAGGGCTGGCTCCTGCATCTGCAAAGGGTCACTGTGGGCAAAAATCAGGGACTTCAGCCACCCAGGAGGGTTTAGCACAACTCTCCAGGAAGATATTCAACATTAGTTGAGAGAAAAGAAAGGAAGAGCCACCAATTCATTCACATAAACACCCAGAGAACTGTTTTTATATAAGTTAAGTCTGAACCACTCCTATGTACGGCTTGTGATGTTGCCAGAAATAATACCAGACTAACAAAAGCACTGTTCTCTTTAAAAAAAGTAGATGGTTTTTTTTTAAACGTCTTTTCTCGACAGACTATTAAGTGTCACTCTCAGTCGCACTACAGCTCTTCCACAATGAGAAAAATCACAGTCCATTAAGTCTTTCAAATGGCTTTACAAAAATATATATTTGAAGTGGATTTAGTGCTGGTGGAAAAGGACCAGACTGACAGGATGGAGGACGAGGTTTCTCTTTTACTCTCAAAATAGGCACTACACAAGCAGCAGAGACACAAGCTGGCTAAGGACTTTCCCTCAATGAGCCTAAATTCTCTGCCCGTGGAGACCAACCCCACAAGCCAGGGGAAAATGCAAAGGCTGAAGTCCCTTCAGACCCTGAGACTGTCACCAAGAAATACAGAAACAGCAGGTCACACACTGATGGGCTTCAGTCCCTGCCTCGCCGAGCACTTCTGCTTGTTCTCCATCAGACACATCTCTCTTCCTATCTATACACTTGGTCTTCAAAGCGAAAATTAAATCCCTATGACAGGACCACTACAAAAAAGCAAGAAAATAGCTAAGGTACAGAATGGAAAAAAAGATGAATAAAAAGGCAAGCATCAATATAAATGGGAATAAAGAAGGAAAAAAAAAAAGTCACGGGTACTAAAAAAAAAATGTTCTTTTTCGTCAGCACGGTTGCTGGAAGTTATTCCAGTTTAAGATCAGAAAGCCAGATGCTTGAGCCGTGCTACAGATGAGCTTTGGAAAGACTCCTACTGTACTCACTCAGATATTAAAAGTTAAAGTCATCTGAATAATGGGGCTTAAGATCATAAATCAAGGGGTTAAACATTCTGATTTAAAGGTTACACACAATTATATAGAGAGCTCAGAAGCTAAATGGTCGGGAAGCTCAATGCAGAACGAGACGCTAACTACGGAATAACAAAGCTACCGTATCCGTCTATTATCCAAACATTAAGGGTTTAGGCATTTAAACCTTTAAACAGATGGGATATAATCCATATGTGTGACCACATCTGAGGAAGGATTTGTGCCAAAATGGGACGGAGTTCAGAATGGCAGAACTCCTTCAGCTGGAAGAAAAATCAGTTTCCCTTCACAAGGAGAGGACTGAAAGTGTACTGTAGCGAGGGGAGCTGCAGCGAGCAGCAGGGTCACGCCAGGAGGCCAGAAACCGGGGCTTTTCAGGCACGTTCAGTGAGATTTTGTGCCCTGCGTCACTGACCTCACCTGTACAGCTCTGAAAAAGCAGCCGTGGTGGGCTCTGCGGTTCCCAAGGCAGCTTTGCGGACCCCGGCACACGCTGCGTCCCCACTGGTGTGCAGGGAGCCGGGATGGCGGGAGGACATCCCCTGGTCCCACCTCCACGTGCCCGGTGCTGAGCCCCCTCTTGAAACTCAACCGGCACATGACTGACGTGGGAGAGGGGAGGAGAGCATCGCCCGTCCCTCGGGGTGGGCTTCAGGGTCTGTACTGCACTTCACTCACAAAGCGTGCGGGACGCGACTCCAATTAAAGGAGGTGACTTTAGAGAGTCACTGCTTGTTTGCATCACGATAAAAGTAGTGGAGAACAGCCAGGCACGCTCCAGCGAGCAAAACTGAGCCACGGTGATCCGGTGGGTCACTGCATCTCATTTCAAAAGGAGAGCTTTTGTCGCCAATTAAAGAACATCCTCCTGCTCCTTAAGATCATATTTTGTTTGGAAAGAGGGCAGAGAAGGGGGTTAGTGATCTTTAGCCACAGTACAGAGAGTGCTGCTAATAACCCGTACCCTGTTCCCAGCGATGCCGCTGCAGCTGGCAGGGCAGCGGCCAAGTTGCAGGAACATTTTCGTGCCGACGGAGGAATCGGTCTCGTTCTGAGCTGAGTCTTTTTTGGCAGAAGGTGGAGACTCGAGCCACCAGGTCCAGTTTGCTAGGGAGTGTTTGCAGGCAGTGAATAATCAAACCCCTCAGCACAGAGGTACAGTGGAAGAAATAAGACACTCAGGAGGACACAACAAGGCTGATACACTGACATCCTCGTCGGATATGGGGGCTGGATGTTGGCTGAGCAAGCACAGCTATCTCCTCTCGGGAATGGGCACTGCCAGGTGAGGAAAGCAGTCCTCAGGGCTTGATCAGATCTGCCTCCTTTTCCTTCAGCCATCCCTCACCAGACCACATTCAAAAGCTTCCCTTACACTCATGATTTCATGCCTTTAAATGAGAAATCAGATCTTACTGGATCTGGCCAAGGCTCATTTGTGACTCTGCCATGTAGCAGAACGGAAAAAGAAAGTCCTCCCACAGCTCCTCTGGGACTTGAAATGCTCCATATAAACAACGCCCACTGCAAGGGAGGGGAGGGGAATCCTTAACAAGGAAAAACTTACCAAGGATCCCTGACAATGACCAAAGTCCCCAGAAAGGGCAGTTTTCACCCTGGAAAGGAGTCCTGGCAGCACTGGTTACTGGTGCCTTTCCCACCGCTCTCTGTGCATGCACACGTGCGTGCCAGCACGGTTCTGGGAAGGGTGGGAAAGCGCGGGCAAAAGCCGGGATCCGTGTTTATGTCTGGCAATATCCGAGCATGTACACACTCATACACACAGGTGAGAGCCTGTATCATGGGAAGCCCCAAATTTGCCAGCCCTCCCGCTGACAAAGCGCCCGGTGGGGCTCCTTCCCACTCCCCTGCCCCTCTGTGAACCGAACTCCCACGAGATGAGTGTTGGACCAGTCCAGCCCACACCTGTTTGCGCTGGTGCATCTGCCTTGGCTCCGAAGCTGTGGGGGCCCGGTACAAATAGGGACTACTCCAAACCACATGCTGAGAAAAACCATCTGTGTTTAAAACAGCTCCTTGCTGCATGTTTCTGCAGGCTGCCCCGTTCGGTTCAATAACTGGCATCCACCGAATCCACTTCTCCCAGCTCCCCTCCGCCAGATCGCTCCCATCTTCTCTCTCCCTTGTTCGTGCGCCACGTGGTGCGGTCACACCGGTTTCCTACTAGAGAAGCTATGAATGGAGCGGGCAGGGGCTGCTGTGCCTTGGGACGGGACACCTGAAGGGCAGATGTCACCCCGCGCAGGCAGGAGCAGGCAGCTGTGGCGGTACAGGCAGAGATGACTTGTTTATTGCTTCCTACATCGCCCACTGCCACGAGGTCAAGCCAAAGCAAGCAGCGACCAAGGGAACGAGCAGGGTTATTCCTGAATGAGAGCTGTTAGGCCAGCAGTTCATACGTGAGACACGTATAGCGATGCCTACGTGGTGCTCTGCAGACCCCCCAAAGCCTCATCCCACCTTCCTCTGGCTTCAGATAGCATAAGATGCCCTCGACTGGAGTAGGTGAATATGCATCGCTCGATCCAACAGGCTCAGCTGGAGACTGCTCCTGCCTGTCTAACACGAGAACTGGAATAATTACTCCTCTTTTGCGGTTGCAGAAACTGAGGCAAAGAAAAGAAAGTGACTTGTCCAAGGCCACACAGCAAGCTGCAGCCCAAGAGATAGGGATAAGCCCATAACATACTTTCTGTTCCCTTGGTTGAGATACTGCTCGGCAGCCCTCATGCAGATGGCCTTGTAACTAAGCAAACTGAGTGGGACTGAGATCTAGATTTGTTTTCCAGACTTGTCACAGATTACTCATGTGATCTTGAGAAAGTCACTTCATCTCTTTGTGGCCAAGTTCACAGTCTATGTATCCTACAGTCACATACCCAAGTCTGCATCTGTGCTTTTCTTCATATCCTTCTGAAGTTTTTTGGTCTGATCTTCCAATCTGAAAGTTGGGAGAACAAGGCAAAGTCTGAATCTTGGAAAGAAACAAACCAAAGTGTATCATACGTGCAACAAATCATTTACGGGCTGAATATGCTGGCTTCTGTTGTGAGTTAAAAATATCCAGGCAAGGCTCTATGAAGTTCAGTGCTGCTCAACCTTTTCTGGTTGTTTTCAGATGGTTTTCAACCTTTTCAAGTTGTTGATCTCTTATTCAAAGTCACATATTTTCTTAAGTCCTCACACTTACCACAAATGGTAAAGCCAAATGCTTCCAGATGATAAGTGTGAGCTTATGTGACACAGTCAGTATGGTAAAACCAATATTTGTCCTCAGAGGTGTTGAGCTGCTCAGTGACCCCACAGTTTTCTGGCAATTTTCCACTTTTACTTTAGAGCTGCCATAATCTGCAAACCTCAACCACACTGCAAATACTTCTTACGACACCTTTGAACACCCAGCCACCAGAGAAACTCTGAAGAATTAGAAATTACAGGGCAGTGAGTGATTTGCTGGGAAGAGCATAACTGGCTAAAATTTTCTGGGAAGATGCAATAAGAGGGCACAACAGAGAAGCATGCTACCGTTCCTGTTTTACCAGCGTGGTTGATACTTACTGCTGAAGCTTTCCATATTCCCTTTCAAAGTCTCTCTCCACCTGTGGAAAGAAGAGATGGAAAACAGCTCAAAGGTACCGCAGCGGAGCCTGGAGTGGCAACTACCTGTGCAGGGAAACCTGTCCTCAGGAAATGCCTACGTGAACCCAGGGAAGCATAAGCTGCAGCTGTAATGGGAGTTACGCTTCAAAAGTAAATGAAGTCTTGGGTTTTTTTCCTCCAGACTCTCTTAGAGCAAAAGACACTGCCACCAACTGCGTCAGCTCATTCCAGTGATGTGCTCCAGCACATGAATTGGAAGCTGACAGAGTAAATGGGAATGCCTTAAAAGCAGAGAGATCGCAACTTAACACACACTGACACAGGCGCCCACAGCTCAGCTCGGTGCTGGCGGGGGACGAGCCCGCTTTCTCTTCCAGAGGCACAATCGTCCCAGAAGCTGAGAGGAGTCACTTCTCCTCCAGCAGCACGCTGCAAAGGACCCCTGCGGTGGGTCTGCCCATGGCTGGCTGCCAGACCCCCACCCAGCCGCTCTCTCCTTCCCCATCCTCAACAGGATGGTTTTTCTCCCCCCAAGCCCCTCAAGCCATTACTGAGCCCTCCAGTCTCCATACTGTTTGCCCCCTCGATATGCTCCTTATTCCTGCAATAGCTCCCTCCGATGAAATACTTCAGCTGGAGCAGCGGTCCAAGCGGACTGCGGCACCTCGCAAAGGGAGGAGAAACCTGTGCTGGCGAAGAGCGCAGAGCTAAAGAACAGCCTTCTCCCGATGCTACATCAATGACTGCTTCCTCCTACTTGCTATCTGGCAGCAAATCTCCAGTGATACAAGATATTTTAAGGAACTTTCCTTCCATGCTGACTGTTTTAACACACACTTAAACATTCATTCCACACCTCGTCGACCAAATAAGCAAATGGATTTCAGTTGACCAGCCAAGAGCAAATACATACGCTTTTGTTGTCATGGGATCAAAACTGGGTTCATTTGTGTTGTCAAGCTACCATGCTATTAAGGAAATGCTAAGTGTTGCAAGCAGCCAGGACTAGAAGGATCCAAAGGTTTGTTCCAAATCTTCATGCTGTCCTCGGGATTTCAAACCAGGCTCGATGTAACAGCATTATGTGAAACCACAACACTTAATAGGGACATTTGTTTTTCAATCAAAATTGCTATTAAAAGACCAATATTTTAAGATGGAGCCCAGTAATCCCAGTTTTCTTGAAACCTCCTTTTCTAAATATCTTTTTGGTCTGGGTCTGCACCTTCAGATACTCCACAGCGACACAACCAGCCCGATCTGAAGGCAGCCGGTGACCCACGCGGCGAGCGTGCCGAATTTCAGCCCCATCCCCAGTGGACAGCTGTCCACACCATCAGCTCCCACCATCCGGGGGATGCATGCTGGCTCTCCCTGTCGATAAAAAACCTCCACCGAGCTCCAACTCCCTTTCGTGCTGCTAAAAATGGTCGCTGGAGAACAGGCATGGAGCAGTGTGGGGGCAGCTCACACGACTTCTGCCTGGTTCACAGTTCTGCAGAAATCCGCAGCAGCTGGTGCCTGGAGGTCAGGTAACCAGCACATAGTAAAAATCACCCTCGATTTCTATGGCTGTTCCGGCTGCTAAAATAACCAGGGAGTATTGCACTCTATTTATATGCCTTATGTGTGAATTGTTTTGGTTGCAAACCAGAGAGGGTCGGGCACGACTCAAAAATATGTCCTTTGAGGGCTGGTGGTACCCTTCCCCTGGCATGGAGCTCCAGCCCTCTCCACGTTCGGGATGCTCTTCCTTGTGTCTGCTCAGCAATCAGTCCCTCCAAGAACCGGAGGGTTTGGACATGAAATGAAACTACCTGCAAAGATCCACGGTATCTGCCCCTTCCCTTTTGCTGTTCGATTCCCCCATTACTGGGCAATGAGCGGAGACGAGCAAAAGGCATCGTCAGCTAATGGATACAAAGGCAAAACTACCCCAAAACTGCGAACCTCCGGGTGATGCGAACCCCCAGATCTTCCAGGGCTTCCAAGCTACCCCGAAACACCCAACCCCGGTTAGCCTGTGCACTTTCTACGTATGATCGAAGTGAATCTACAAGGTGGCACTTCAGCTGCCCGGCCTGACTCACATCTCCAGTGCCATCTATGCAGAGACAGCTGCCCAAGGATTGCTCTTATTTTTCACGCCCACAGTAGCAACTGGCTACCAGCGATCACAGTCTGCAGGCTCATGTAGCCTTCCCAGTCATCGCTGCTCTCGTTTGCATCGCAGGAGCCCAGATATACGACGCGAGCAGCGAGGAGCAGGGCCCCCCATGCACTAGCCAGAGAAGACCCGCTCTCACGTGCTCCCACCGTGCAGATTTACAGGCGGCAGCGACCGGCAGATCAGAGGCATGCAAGGAGGACAAGCTGAGAGCAAGCCAAGCGCATTTTGCAGAGTACACAGTAATTCCCGTTCCCAGTAGCGATCATCAATGGCCACACATAGCCGACACTTTCGGCAAAAGGCTATGGATAGGATTATCACGTTAAAAGCAACGAGAACAAGAAGTACAGGCAAGAAAATTACAATATCCTGAAGGGAAGTTTCTGTAATATTAAAATAATCCCACTTCTCTGCAGCTTCCTTCTGAAAACTCAAAATCAAAACGTGTTTCTGTATTGAACGCTTTTTCTTCTAGGCATACGGGCTAGTTAATGCAAGATTGCTCGTCTCTGGGTTTTTATTTAAATCTACATAAAGAACGACAAGTTCTGAGAAGCATTGAAATAAAACAACGTTCTTTTTCACCCAGTTATTTTTGTTTGCAAACACTGGGTCTTCCACCTGTGATAACATCCCTCCTGCTTTAAGGGCAATATCATAATCGACACCACGGTTACAAGGCAATGAAGCAAGACCAATGCCAACACTACAAAGAGATGGAAATAAGGGACTGTGATGAACCTTCTTATTCCCCTGAGGTTAATTTCTTTTCCTGGAGGAGGAGGACTAGCTGATTTCTACATGTTCCAGTGGTCTCAGCCTCTTCCTCCCTGCTCCTCTCCAAAAAAAAAAGAAACCCAGATAATTAGGCCAGAAATTCTGCTATAAGCTGGAACTTCTGCTGAGCTTTTGCCATCCCATCGAGCAAGAGGAGATTCAAGGCAAGTAATGTGGGCAAATATTTGCTCTGCGTCCGACAGCGGAGCCCTGAGCCAAAGCAACGCTGCAGGGTGCAGGGGTATCTGGGACTTCACAGGCTTCACCACCCAGCAAGCTCTCCAAACCCCCATCTAGCAAGAAAGCTTTCAAGAAAGGCTGCCTAGGTGGCACGCTGAAAGGGAAAAAGGATGTACCTCCGAACCACAGGGACCGCTTACATCCCGGTGAAGATCGAAGGAAGAGAGTGAAAACGAGTAAAATTCTTTAACCGGCGTCACTCGATTTCACCCCACCATTTCTGTGACATTTACTGCGTTAGTTTGGGATTTCCAGCTCGCTGGTGGAGCCCAATGGAAAGGCGCTGACGACCGGCAGCTGCAGTGGAATCCTCCTGCTCATGGAGCTCCTCCGTCCGACATCCCTGGGGAAGGCAGAGCTGCTGGGATGAGTCAAGGAAGGGAGGCTTGGCAGGCGTGTGGGCCCACAGCTCAGGTCTCCGCTCCCTGCCAAGCTGACTCACCCAAGGTTAGCCAGCGAGGAGGAGGAAGACAAGCCATCTGAGTCAGCCCAGGCCAGAGCACTGCCGAGGGAGGGAGGGAGGGAGGGAGGAAGGGGTAAAACCCGGGTGACGTGAAGGGGCTGTGTTGCCCCATCCCAAGAGGGGATGAGAGCTGGCTGGCTCTCCCAGCTTCCGATCCGGCTCCGTGCCCCATGGGGACGTGTGGCCGGCTCTTCTTCCCGGCTACCTGCCGGCTCGGATAACCCAAGCCCCGGTGAAGAGCAGGGTACAACCTTGGGTTGACACAGATGAACTTCAGCAAGCTGGAGCTGCAAGAGAGCTCCGAAAACAACCGCAGCTCTGGTTCCAGCGTAACCTCTGCTCGGACTGAAGTTGTCCTGAGGGAGGGAAGAACATCTCTGCCATAAGAGACTTCATCGCTGCACTGGATTTGAGCAATAAACGTTCTGCAGAGAGATATAATTCTAACGGGTTTAACTTCTACCACTGGGCATTAGTTTAATTGGGCTGTGTTACTGTGTCCTCCGTGGCTCCGCTGACAGCAGGTCCTCTCTGCGCATTAGATCCTCCCACCCGGCTCCTGGCCTCTCGGCGAGCCCGGTGACAGCTGCTCTTTTCAGGGGAGAGCAGGGGAGAGATTATGCTGTCTGGAATTGGATTTGCCCAGGTTAAGGTGGAAACAAAGCAGAGGCATGTCTGGGGGGGCGGGAGATCACTTCGGTTCACCAGCCGATATATCCTACGGGGTTTTCCTTCTACCTGAAGAGTTAAACTGTGGCTGACACCATGCCCTTCTTCAAAGCATCAGAAGCGAGTGGGCATAGGGAGTCATGACTAATTCCCTCTGCAGCCTAGGCAAATTGCTTTTCAGTACTACTGCAGGCCTAGATTTGACACCAGCCCCAGCATCATTTCATCAAGAAAAGAAAAAAGGCTTGCTGGCGAGCTAAGCCTCTCTCGGCAAAGCGATTCTCCCCTCTCCTGCACTCGAGTTACATGCCTCATGGAGAGCCAAATAAGTGAGATCCTAACAAATGCTTTTTTTTTTTTTCTCCCCCCCTCCTCTTTTGTGGTCCAATCTCTGTGAGTGGGAGATCCTCTACCCACAACCACTTCCCTTCTGATCGGCTTGGGATGCAGCCCTGGAGATGCCACACCTTCCCACTTCCTGCAGCGGGCTCCGGAGCCCAACATCTGGAATATCACAGACCTCGGCTGCTACCGCTGTTCCCAAAAGCCCGCACAGATGGAGCATCTCAGCCTGCAACTGGGAGGCAAAGTTGGGGGCCTCGAGCTCACTAAAGCTACAAAGCAGCCCCATCACTTCCACACCACGACGCTGAACGCCTCACTCCCAGGGGAGATCGGTGGTTTCCTGCCATTTGTTCTTCTTTGAAGAGTTGCACTTTACACTTACTGTGAGGTTGCAAGGCTTTGGGCTTCCTGTTTTCTGCTTTCCACGTATCTGCTGCCTGGAGAGTATCATCATCATCAACACACGGCAAGTGGAAGCCATTTAAAAATCGGCATCTGACTCTGAGCTACCGAGTCGTTGACACAAAAACTTGTTGTTCTTCTTGGGGGAGCCGCGGAAGAGGGGGAAGGAAGGAAGGAAGGAAAGGGAAATGGCCTGGAAACACTCATGCTGCTGAATGAACCTCTGCCTGCCGGATATTCTGAGCTGTTCTATTTAATACACACACACATACATAAGCAATGCCTGCCAACTGCCTCAGCACATACCAGCAGCTCAGGGAAGGCAAGCTCTCAAAGGTGCAACAGTTCGTCTGCACGGAGCCCAGGCTCGGGCCGCAGCTCGGGGACAGCTGATTTCAGCAGCAATGGAGCACGGCACAGGGGAGACAAGGTCTTTCAGACAAACCTCTCGCAACAGCAAACACAGCAGGAGCAGAGGGAAATCAGCAAGCGCTGGCAAGAGAAAAAGATATAGTCAACTTGGATGTGAGAACGGCCGGGATAGAGACATCCAAGACATCTGGCCAAGACACCCAGAGCTGCAGAGCAGTTGGTTCTTGCAACAGCCTGGAAGGACACCGGCGTTGGAAACACCGGGAAAGAGGACGAGAGGCAAAATCTTGTGGAGCAAGGCAACGTGGGGTCTCCTGAAACAAATGGGAATGGGTGTGAAGACCTGAGGCTGGTGGACTGCCTTTCCTGGGGGACCGCAGACAGCAGCACCTTCCGCCGGCTGGTCGCCAGCCCCTGGAAAAAGGGCAGCTGAAGAGATGCAAAAACCATTGAGGGATTTTATCAGTCCTTGTCTTCATCGCCTGCTTGGCTTAAATTTTGTACTGACAGTTTGGAGCCGTTACAGAAAATTGCTGTTCTACGGCAGCAGACAACTACCAAATCCTTTAAAATAAAACCTGTCAATCAAGCCACAAAGGGAGTGGCAGAATTAGCCCTCTGCCTCCGGGGGAAAATGTCATGTCCCAAGGAGAAACTGCCCCATAAACACGAGTGCCCACGCATCCTGAGGAATTAGCCATGATGAGTGTCCCAGAGAGGAAGGATCAGAGATGTTAGTCTGTTCAAAGGATTAGGTCATCAATGCCGTTATAAAGACAAGGTCTCCACCGTGCTCGCTGTCGGGACACTTATTTTAGAGCAGGTATGCAGGTTAGTTTTCAGGGACAGCTACTGTGAGGTCCCACAGCTTTTTTTGCACGGGACAAAGGCAAAGACCATCTGCTTAAGAAGGGAAAATACCACAGCCAGCTGCAAGCAACAGCACTTGGGATAGGAGTCTCAAATACATGAGAATACAAAATGCTTTTTTAATTTGCTTTTAAAGCAAATGCTGTGCAGCACAAATTAATTCACGCCCGAGCACTAAGCATCTCAGCTTATAAGCCTTTCTTTGGAAACAGTTATATTCAGCGATCTGAACCACTCCTCCTCCTCCATC